TGGCTGGGCTCCCTTGCTACAGGCCTGTGCAGAGGCAGAAACATCTTGGTGAAAGGATGTGGTGGAGGAAAGTGGCTCACACTGTGGCGGCCAGGAAGCAGAGAGAAGAGAACCAGAGAGGACGGGGCAAGGGGCAAGATACACCCTTCAAAGTCGTGGTCCCAGTTATTTCCTTCCTCCATCTGGCCTTATGTCTTCATAGCCCATCTAGCTGTGAACTCATAAATGGATTAATCCACGAGGGTCCATTCAGCTCTCTAGACTCCACCTTTGGACGTTGTTTGCACTGGGGGTGTCAGTCACCTTTCGTCATTGGAACACAATTCCTGACACCCGCAATTTAAAGGGGAAGAGATTAATGTGGCTCACAATTTTAGTCCATAGTCAGAGAGCTCCAAGCAGAACAGGATGGCAAAAGTGCTCAAGTTAGCCAAGAAGCAGAGAGGGAAGGAAAAGCTGGGGATAAGAACACACCCTTCCAGTGACCCATCTCCTACCAGGCCCCACCTCCTGACAGCATGTGTAGCCTGTGAACTCATCCATTAGCAGAAAGGAATGGAAGGCCAATGGGTGTGGAAAAGAAAGGAGAGAAAAGGCAAAGCATGGTGCAGAGGAGCAGGATCCTCTTCAGCCCATGAGTTGCAGTCCCCCACCTCTGCTGCTGTGGCACCTCCACCCCACCATTTCTGGGCCTCTCCCACTGAGACCCAGTTTAATGATTCTTCTCAAAAGGTACCGACAAGGAGAGCCTCACAAGTATTCTCAGTGATCACATTTGCCCAGTCTCCTTGGCGCAGTGATCAGAGTTCTATTGGTTACAAGCAATGTAGGCCCAACTAAGACTAGCCCCAATATCTGAACAGTGCAAGGTGGATTTCGCCTTAAGTATGAGTGCATCCATGACTTAAAGTGGGGCCAGTAATGAATCTCATTTTTCTGTGCACTTCCCACTGCAGAGGCTCTTACGTAGTGTCACCCTCAACACATATAGATGCCAGGATGGTAAGATGGCATCCAGTAATTCAAGACCCACAAGTCCACCTTTCCAGTAGGTGCAGCATAAATATATTTTATGGGAATACCTTGTATCATATGATCATCTCTGAACCAATCACAGTGGCCAGCAGCATGGCATATAATGATTGGCCAAGCATGGATCATGTGACCAGCCTTAGATCTGAGGGGTGGGGCTAACCATGCCCTCACTGTACTGGCCATGATTTCCCCACTGGAAAATCTGGGTGTTGAGAAGGAAGGATGTGTTCTGGAAATGCACGGTTCACAAACAGCCTTAGTTACTGGGCCTGGGGCTAACATGAGTTGAGCTGCTGGAGCACAGATTCCCTGCACTTGCTGTATCTCCTCAGCTCTCTTATTTATTCTGAAAGACACAATGGAGAGACAGGATTATAGGGTATGGAAGACACTGTCAAGTCCCTTGCTTTCACTGGCCCAGGCATGCTGGCCCAATGTCCAGTGGCCAGCTCCTGCATTTGCTCTGGCTGCAAGATCAGGCACTGCCCGTGCCATTCATAGCTACCAGTGCCAAGGAATCCCCCCACCCCGAGAGCCCTTTTACAGTGACATTGGTATCAGGTTGGATGACTGAATAGTGGACCCACCATCAAATCTCCCAGGGTGCTCCAGTGGGATTAAGCTCCTGTTACCCACAGTGGTAACTAGCTGGATAGCATGCCCTTGGTTTTCTCTCTTCCCTCCTGTACTACTTCCCCACTCCTCCACTGACCTTCCTGGATCACCACCAATAGGCTATAGTACTTTCAATGGGAACTTTGTCTCAGGGTCTCCTTCTGGGGGATCTCAAACTAAGACACAAGAGCAACCTGGTAGCTGCTTTAATCGGTCTTCTAGAAGGAAATCACTGACAAACTCATGTTGAGACACAGTGCAATTATGTGTTGATGGGAAGCCAAAAACATTCAAGCCTAGGGCATTACTGTTTAAGAAAAACATTTTTTAGGAACCTCTGTGGAGGAGGATAGGGTGGAGATGAGTCAGGAGGAGTCTCAGCAGGGCCTTAAACAAGGCTTTGTTGAGGCTGAGATAGCAGCTGTGGCCCAGAGTTAAGGGCAGAGATTGCCTTCTTTCTACCCATAGATCAGGGGACACATTAGCTGATGGAAGCATTTGCTTCCTTGCTTCATTGTGCACACATAGGAAACAGGTCCTCAGAACAGCTGTGCGAAATGGGGTACTTCTATGGGGGTACTGTGGTACATTTAAAATTTGATCCCAAAATTCACTCTTAGGACATTAGTCCACAGATATTTGTATTTACTAGGAATTATAATATGGCCTGAATATATGACAGTCTTCTATTTCCCAAAGAGGAAGATCAAAACCAGTATCACACCCATTTAGGTAACTTATCAAAATCAAACAAAAGAAGATAAAACATTGCTGAGGATGTGGAGAAATTGAAACCCTTTTCCACTGTTGGTGCAAACATAAAATGGTGAAGCCAGTATGCAAAATGGTGTAGAGTGCCTCAAAACAATTAAACATGGAATTACATAGGATCCAGCAATTTCATTTCTGGGCATGTACCCAAGAGGACTGAAGCAGGGACTCAAAGAAACACTTGTGCATGGATGATCACAGCTATGCTATTTGCAATACCCAAAAGGTGGAAGCAACTCAAGTGTCCATAGAGTAACAGATTTTTAAAATATGCTATATCTGTATGTTGGGATGGTATTCAACCTTTTAAATGAAGAAAGTTCTTATACATGCTATAATAGGGATGGACTTAGAGGACATTTTGTTCAGTTACAGATACTGTGTACATCGATGTACCTAGAGACATAAAGTAGAATGGAGCCTGGCTTTTGCAGAGCTTTAGAGAAGGCTGCTATATACTGTTCCTTTGTAGATGTACAGCAATTTGTTCTGCTGCTGATGGACACTTAGTTCCTTTACAATTTTTGGCTCTTCCAAATCTTGCCAGGGATTTAGCTCAGTGGTTCCACTGCCTGCCTCGCAGGCACAAGGACCTGAGTTCAAGCCCTGGAACAACAACAACAACGAAATTGAACCCAAGGGGTACTAGTGTGAATATCTGTATATATGCCTTTTCGTATATGCATGTGTTTTTGTGCATGAAACTGCTGGTCACACAGTTTGCATGTATTTAGCTGGCACAACTAATATTAAATGGTTTTCCAAAGCTGTACAATACAATTGATAGTCTCATCAAAAAAGTATGAGAATTCTGGTTACTCCATATTCTTGTCAGTACTTACTATTGTCTATCTTTTGTACTTTAGCCATTCTGGTGGACAGATTGTGGTGTTGCATTCTTGTCTTAATCTGCCTTTGCCTAACAGCTAATGAAGTCAAGCACATTAGCATAGGTTTTCAGTCATTGATATATCCTTTCTTAATGAAGCGCTTGCCAAGGCTTTTATCCATTTTTCCCACGGGTCATCTGGGATTTTTTTGCTTATTCTTTAGTAGACATTCTTTATATATTTTAGATGTAAAGCTTTTGTTGCACATGTGTATTGCAAGTATCTTCTACTCTGAGGCTTGCTTTTCATTCTTTTAATAGTGTCTGGTGAATGGAAGTTCTTAATTTTAAAGCATTGCTTTCTAAAGCAATCTTTAAAGGGTTTGTTTACAGTGTTACTTAACACTTGCAACTGTGAAGTCATATCCCCAGGAAAAATCACTAAATCTGTGTTAAATAGCTTCTCTTTTTTACCCCCCAAGGAGTTCTGCTGGGTGACCGCCATAAACATCCAAAATTAGAATTCACTGAGGTCATGTCAGACTATTGTGTCTTTCTGAAATAGTATTTCCTTGTTTAAAATAAGGGAATCAGAACACACCAGGTAATGGGAGACCCCTTCTGAGTGCGTACTTGTAAATACAGGGACTCCTTTAAAGAATTTTGTGAGGGTTGGAGGTGTAGCTCAGTAGTAGAGTGCTTGCCTAGCATGTGTGAGACCCTGGATTCAGTACCTAGTATAATAAAAGAATAAAAATAATTTTTGGAAAGAAAAAAAGATTGTCTAATATTCAAGCATAGTTGGTTTGTGTGGAGGTATTCATTGCTCCACTCTTGTGATAGAAAAAGATTTGAAATGCTCACATGTTCTCATTGGGTCCTGCTCAGTGGAATACTGAAGAGCCAGTAAAAAAAAAAAAAAGAGTAAATTTATGCATGAGTGTATAGACTTAAGAGGGAAAAAAGCAAGGGGTGAGACTGTGTGTGTGAAGCCAGGTGTGTATGTCTCTTCTTGTCTACTCACAATCTGTTTGAAGGCATCGCAGCCAGTGATGAAAAGGAGATGAAAGCAGAGGTGGGAAGGGCAGTTACTTTTCTTTGCAAACCATCTGGGGGTATTCAAAACATTTTTCAATCATGTGCATTTATTATTGAATCCCAAGAGCTAAAAAGTTGATGCCGAGGATTTAGCTCAGCAGTTCGGTGGCCTGCCTTGCAAGCACCAGGACCCGAGTTCAATCCCCGGTACCAAAAAAAAAAAAAAAA